CCCCATCACTCCCCGCGGCCCCCATCACTCCCCGCGGCCTGCACGGTCACTTCCACACCCACTTCCACACCTTCCAGGGGCAGTGGAGTCTCCACAGGACTCAACAAGGGGGACAGTGACCTTGTCAACACCATGGGGCTCGTGACCTGCCATACCAAATGCTGCTCCCAAGCCTCTGAAGGAAGCCTGAGGGCAGGGCAGCTCTGGGGCAGGGCAGCCACCTGTCCCAGCTAGGACAGACTCCATGGCTCACATCGCACACTTGCTATTGAGCAAGTATCAGTTCAAGAATTTATTAATAGGCACTGGTGGCTCTCGCCTGTAATCCTAGCTACTCAGGAGGCTGAGATCTGAGGATCGCGGTTCAAAGCCAGCCCAGGCAGGAGAGACCGTGAGACTCCTATCTCCAATAAACCACCAGAAAGCCAGAAGTGGCGCTGTAGCTCAAGTGGTAGAGCACTCGCCTTGAGCTGAAGAGCTGAGGGACAGCGCCCAGGCCCAGGCCCAGAGTTCAGGCCCCATGACCAGACCCAAAAAAAAAAAAAAAAAAGAGTTTATTAATAGAGAGTGCTGGTGGTATAGCTCAGGGATAGAGCATGTGTGGAGCATGTGTAAGGCCCTGGGTTTGATCCTGTCACACACACGCACGCACGCACGCACGCACGCACGCACGCACGCACCCACCTCCCCCCCACCCCAGTTAATCATGAACTTAAGAATCAATAGGGCTCCCCGCTTCTAGTGAACATGGAGAAGAGATGGCTTTGCTCTATGGATGTCCTGTTAGAAGCCAGCACATCCCCAGCCCCAGTGCAGCAGCACCTCCCGACCCTGCAGCCCAGCTCCTACTGAAGGCAGATGGCAGCACGCACCTTGTTCCTCATCTCCTGGACCTCTTTTGGGTTAGTGTTCAATGGAACAAACAGGTTAGGGACGGCAGAGGTGGAAGTTCTATGTCCATCCTCTTTAGTCCACTGTAATATCAAGAACAGTTGAAAAGTCAGGATTACGACAACAAGTAAAGACATCATAACATCCAATCTGTTCAATTGATCTTGTATCTGGTCATGCACTGAACACCACAGAGGACTGAACCAATGACCACGTTTCCTGGGTCACTCAGTAATCACCATGGGGCAGGATACAGACCCGTGAAAACCGGAGGAGGTCGGGCTTAACCAGTCATAATGATGGAGACGGGCGACAGAAAGCCAGTCACCACGGGGATTAGAAAGCAGGCTGAGGACAGCACGGAGCCGGCGCCCTCCGCCCCTCCAGGCAGATCCCCACAGAGGACATTGGTTCACCGCCCTGAGAGTGACCCAACACCAAAGCCAACGGGAAGCGTGGGATGACAGGGCCATGAGAAGCCGTGAGAAGCCGCCACCCGGGCGGGACGGGCTGCTGCAAGGAAAGAGTGGGCACCACCAACGGTTTGCATGAAAATAAATGGCAGCATCAGAATGTACTAGATGCATGCTGTTTGAACCCAAGAAAATGACTGTACTAGCATGTATGCAGTAGCTACCAGGTGGAAAGGTTTGGTGATGTCAAATATTTTATATAACTTAACATGTTTGTTACAAAAATAATCCCCCAAAATTTGAAGCGCTTTATGAGACCCTAAAGGCCTTTTTAGTATCAGTGCATTTTCTCAGCACCCTGCACCTTCAACTCATCAATTTCCTTTTAGATTCCAAATCAAATATGAGATTTTTTTAGTCAAATTTTAATTCCTGGGCATGAAAAGGCACTGAATATTAAAACAAGCCATCTTAGAGAGCAAATGTTGTGCTTTTCCGAACATTTTCGGGAGGCAGTAAGACAGCATAAACCATAGGGCTTTGAAGGAAGCAACAGAACGGATGCTGAGCCCTGCGAAGGAGGGCGGGCGTGGACATGGGTACTCACTGAGGCTTCTCTTCTCAGATTAAAAACAACTCCAGCATTTTATCAAAAGTAACTTTAGTCAAAACATTAAAATGGCCACCTCAGAAGCTTGAACACATTTGAAAAAATCAACAGTAATTATTGTAAATTAAAGTATACCAACCTGGAATCATGGCATGGAATTTGCTTTACTTCAGAATAAGAAACAAATATAAATGCTCAGCAGGCCCCCTCTGACAGTACATTGACTAGCATGCCTCCATGACTTGGTCTGTTTCAGGCTGACACTGCCCAGAGCTGCAGCTGCTCGCTCTGGGCTCTGGAAAGCCGTGGGGCAGGGGAGGACTGGCTGGCCACTCCCATGAATAAGTGAAACCAAAGAAGAAAGGGGATGAGGCTGAGACCGGAAGAAGACAGATGTGCCCCAGGCCCTGAGGTTCCCCCACCCAAGTGGCGTGGCTGCTCACAAGCACAGAGGCTGCTAGTCAACCGTGCAGATCAGAAAAACACCAGAACCTCCCGGGAAGACAACGCCTTTTTTTCTTTTTCCTGTAAGGGAAGCTGGGCCCATGTGCCACTCACTGCCTCAGAGCACCGGGGCTGCACCGCTGCCGTCCGGCCTCTGTCCCCTCGGAAGGCTGCTGGACGGGTCTCTCCTACGTGTCAGTGCGGTGCTGGCTACCCTACAGGACATGAAGACCCGTCCTGGGAAGGTGCTAGGCACCTGAGCAATGGGAGCAGCAATAAAACCAGAACAAGCACCCTGGCAGCGTCTGTCGCTGGTGCCTGCAGATGGCCTGCACTGCACTGGGGCCATGCCGCACCCAGCGGGAGCCAGAGGACTCACCACCATGGCGTCTGCTCACATGCAACAGTCCATGCAGAAGGCAGCTGGCTCGAGCGTTCGGAGGCTTTGGGACAGAGCCAGGAACAAAGCTGAGAGAGGAAGAGGGTCAGCAGAGAGCAGGCCAGTGAGCCGGGAGGGAAAACTGCTTAAGAAAACACTACACACAAAGGGGCTGGGCTTGCCGCACCCACGTACCAGGTTCACGACTGAACTACTTTCTCCTGCACAGAGAGTTCGCACACACAAACTGACGTCAGGAGCGTGCCTGCATTCAGGTCAGCGCGTGTGAGTTCTTAGTATCTTTGCTGTGAGTACAGTCAGGTTATGGGGTGTGCAGAAGCGGCACAGTATCTTAAGCAGTTTCAGACAGACGGTAGCACTGGAATTTAGCTACAGTGTGGACTTTGCTCGGAGGGAAAGCGAGAAGGTTGGGGGGCTCATTAGGCACGGGGGTTCCCAAAGCCTCCGAAGCCGCAGCTGCCCACCTTGCTCTACGAGATCTAACTATGAACAGTAAGTAGGCACAGACCAAGCAGCTGGTAATACAGCTTGGCACGCAGACACCGGACGAGAGAGACTGCAGCAAGGGTTTCACGTGATCGTGTGTAATGTTCGTCCACACCTTAGTCTTCGACTTGGGGCTGCTTCCACTCTGCCCTTCCTCAGACGCTTCATCACCCCGGCCAGAGTTCAGCCATCGGGTCTTCTCTCGCTGCTGCTTCTGAAAACTCTGTCTGAGAGGAGAGCACGTGCCCGAGTCGCCGTCACTAGCGAAGGAGCAGCCTGTGACGCTGGCAGGGCCCTCGGCATCACTGTGCTTTTTAGACTTCTCTCTCAGAGCAGGGTACCGGTAGGGGTAGCCTGTGCGATAGCCCTAGGAGACAAAAAGGCAGGAAGGATATCACCCTCCGCTTCCCCAGCCGTGGCTGGAGGCAGCACACACACTATCCTGCAGCTCTACCCTCCATCGCGAGGCATCAAACGCACACCCCGCACGCCAGGACAGCCTGAGCGGGGACAACACAGCCCCATCTGACAGCCCCGGAACCTGCCAAAGGCCGCAGCGTGCAGCTCAAGTACGACACAGAACAGAAACCAAACAGAAAAATACACACTGGGTGGGCCCCATTTATAAAAACCAAGAAAGGGGCTGGGAAGGTGGCTCAGTGGCAGAGCGCTCGCCTTGCATGCATGAGGCCCTAGGTTCGATTCCTCAGCACCACATAAGCAAAAAGAAAAAAGCCGGAAGTGGCGCTGTGGCTCAAGTGGTAGAG